CCTGAGTGCATAAAGATGTTAAAGCTAAAAAATACAGGTTTAAGACTACTTAAGCTGTCCATTTATCGGTAGATTTTAGGAACAGATATATGGTGCTTATATGTAGAAAGTCAGGAAAACTAGTAGGAAAGTAGTTAATAAAAAGGATTTTTTAAAAAGAGATTAATTATTCTCATTCTTAGACGGAAATCATTTAGTCAAACCTAGCCGAGCTAAGACTTTTCCTCAAATCTTACTTTTGCCATCATGCCTTCTCTCGAAAAAAGGCGAATTATAGGAAAGTGGGGGATAAAAACAGTGTTCAAAGAAACCCTCATTTTCTTCTACTATACCATCTTTTAGAAAGAAATATGACCGATTATCGAGATCCTGCTGCTACAAGATTGCTTCTCATTTGGTCGACGTTTGCTGGTTAGACATGCCGACCTATTTAACAAAGATTGGGAAAACACAAAAATGCTTGTAAAGGAAGCTGGGTCCAACTATCAGGAGTTGCAGGAAACATGGTAGAAACTGAACATGAAATAGAATAGTCTCAAACTAGAAAGTTTACTGATTATGGTACGTCTGTTGTTAAAAGAAAAATAAGAAAGGCTATTGAAATAAATCACTTAGGAAATACATTGAATGTGAGGAACGGTGGTATAAAGTTAAGTAGGAACTATTTATAAGATTGAAGAAAAGAGAGGGTGTTGAGCCGCCGTCCAAAAGAAGTCTACTCAATTTGCTTACTCAGTGATGTTTCTAACTTCACTTACATTCGTTCAACATGTGAGAGTAAGTTCATCAACCAAACCAGACGTGCCAGATTATGCAGCCCCAGTCTTGCCTTTCCTTAAGTGGTTAAGCGTTAATAACCCTAGACTGAAAGGTTAGGACAAATGGTAGCTTATATTTCATAATCTCAACCATTCTTGCTTACAGACTTACAGTCTTGGTCAGAGCTTTATCTTGGGTCCTTCGGCATTGATGACCCGAGCCTGACATTAGCCTTTTGATCACTCTTATTTAGGACCGGTATTGCGTATAGAGGTTAAAACACACAGACTCGAGCAAAACTAGCAGGACCAGTATGAAAGATAATTAGCCAAACCACTCTATAATTATCTATCTACGCTTTTAATTTTATTTTGGCTTAATTGAGACTATATAAGAGATAAGATAGAGCCGGATAGTCTTCTTGCCCTAGTGTTAACGTGAGACTTTTACACGAATGAGACCCAGCTCTGATGATGTCCATCAAATGATGGACGAAAGCTCAGACCGTTTTCACCCGAAGCGAAGGTCTCGTAGACTACGTCAACCTGAACCTCGTATAAAACCCAAACGGTTGCAGTATAACGGGATTCAACTGTCCGCTTCAGATGAGATCCACCTACTAATCTCTTCTTCATGCACTTTCATACGAAATGAAAGTCTTCCAAACAATATTATCTCAGGAGATTAATTAAAACCCAGTTTTTCTTCGTATATTTAGTTAGTAGTCGATACGCTGTCGAGCCCCCGAGAATATTTTTCACTTTATCTGTTTATTCCTTCCTGTCCATCACCAATATGGCACCTCCTTTGTCGACTTGTAGGACTATTTGCTCGTTTCTTTTCAATTTTCTCTATATCTTCTAGAGGTATTTATCATCTTCACTAAAATGTCCTTTGTTGCCTTTCTTTCATTCAGAAGTGCAAAATTTAGTTCCTTCTGGAGGATCTCTGTGGTTTCCATGTCAAGAGGGACAGATTCACTACTTTATCTTCATTTCTTGTCTGGATGTTGAGACCCGTCAGCATAGATGCATCTTCATTTTTTCCAGATGGTTGAACCTTCTGCTGCCTATATATTCCATATTTATTCAGCTTTTTCTGGTGCCTTTTTTGATTAAGTCCGATATCCTTTTCGTCATATCAACTGTCATCTTCTGTAGTTTCAGCAAATCCTTCGGTGTAAAAATCTGACTCATCATGCCTGAATCTAGATTCAATATCTACAAACTTAAATAATTTTCTCCTCTCCTTGTCATATGTATCCTCTAATTTTTGCAAAGAAGCTTGATATAATATAGTATTGACTTTATCAGAATGATATTTTCTCATCAAATTGCAAAAACTATGGGGGATGCCATAACGTTTACAACAGTTAAGAAAGGTCAAATGACAAGATTGACTTAGTCAGTGCATTGACTGGCAAGCTTAGCACCGTAATTAAATCGTAGATATGAAGACCAAGATGGTGTGG